CTTTTTCCAAAGTTGGCAGCACCGTTAAAGTTTCCCAAAATTCAATTTATATATGAGCTGGTTTCTTTTTATGTTCCTTTTGCTCCCTGTTGCTCTTATCAACAATGTTAGCAATGATATTTCATCACGTAGTATGTGTCCAGTGCCAGGCTAAATACTAATTCTTTACATCAGTCCCATAAATTAGATAAGATGATTTTGCCCATTTTTTAGGTGAAGGACACTGAGGGCCAGAGAAGTTCAATAACTTGGCAAAGTACACACAGCCAGTAATAGCAGTCGTAACGAGTTGCTCTCTCCTTTTTTTAACTCCATGCTACTTCATTCTCCCTCTTCAGAAACCATAGCTTCCTAATGCTGAGCTGTAGGGCTGGGGATTCAGCTCAGTGGTTCCACCACCTGCATCACAAGGACAAGGACCCGAGTTTGATCCCCAGTAGCCCCCCCAAAACAAACAAACAAACAAACAAACAAAAAAATGCTCAACTGTTAAGCCAATATGAAGTGAGAACAGCCAGCAGTGTTCCCAGCTAGGAAATAGGTTAAGTAACAAAACCATTGAGGATTGTGCTTCTCGCATGGCTGTATCTTTGTGTCTTTTTCCTAGGTGTAATTCTTTCTTTCCTTTGGTGAAGCCGAAAGAAAGTGGGCTTTGCAAACAGACACCCAGACCCGACTTCCAATGCTGCCAGCTCCCTGGCTGCTGGGTTCTTGCAAAATATTGAATTCCTCCAAGGTCTCCTTCCTGGAAGGTGCACAGCAAATCCTTTATGGCAGACATGAGCTGAATGGGATTCACAGACACGACACCTGACTCACAGTAGACCTCCACCCCTGACTGTTTCATGTACTTCTTGCTTTTTTTCTGCCACATCAAAGCTCTATTCTGTATTCCCAAGTTTATCTCCAGGCATTGCTTCACTTGGGATCTCCTAGGTCCTTGAAATGTGGGTCCTCAATCAGCAGCCTCAGCATCACCTATAAATTCACTAGAAAAGCAAATTGGCACATCTCATCCCAAACCCGCTGGATCTCAAAACTCTGCCTCCATTCCGAACAACCCTCCCCGTGATTCCCATGCACACTCAAGTTTGCCAGCCACCTCCTGAGACATTTTTTGGTACCAGGCATCGAATGCAGGACCTTACACCTGCAAAGCAGGCACAGCATCACAGAGCTGAATCCCTCTTACTATGCCTCTTTAAATGAGGAAGGTGGTGTCCAAAAAAACCAAACGGTTTCACTTGAACCTACATAGTCATGGAGTTACGGAGAAGAGAAGCTCGGTTTTCCATCAGCTCTGCCTTTGACCAGTCCTGTGAAGCACTACTAACTACTCCCACGCTGCAAACCAATACTGGGGCCTCTCAGCCAATATCAAACAAACCAAAACACTACTGCTTTGCACAGACTACCTTCCCCATCTGGACCTGGGCTCACCACTTAGAAAACAGCCTGCTATGTGCATAGCCTGTGCACTTAGGTCTCTTTGGATACTTAGGGAAATGAATGGCTCACAGAAAGTTAACTTTGCCAATACTGCTGCCTACTCACCTTTCTATGATATACTCAACACACAGTGGTCTTTTAAGGTTTTGAGTCCTGCCCCAAAGTAACTTCTTTAAATCTGTGTTTCCCAAACATGTTCATCTTCACGTTATACTTTATTAACATCCCTCCAGAGATAATGCTGCATGGAACCAATTTTTGAACTGCTAGATGAACTAAGCATTAAGACAATATTATTCTGTAATTTTAGACTCTATGACCCCTTTTATTAGATCATATCAGAAAGCATCACATTAATCCACTCAATACCCTTCATCAGTTTCACAGCTGGTCTTCAGCACCCACTAGTTAACTAGGCCTCAGTCATTACACTACTTCTCTGTCCTGCTCCTCTTCTGTGTTGATTTGCAGGGAAGAGCAGATATCATTCCCCTTGTACTGGCCTGAGAGTATTAATAAAAATTATCTAAGTTGATGCAGGAAGTGTTGGGAAAAAACAGAACAGAATGACTGTGAAATTCACACCTGACACCACAGTGCTTCACAGAGAGTTTCTTTCTATAAGTGAGGACGTAAGACATCCTGGAGCCAGACTTTTCATTCCACTTAAAGCACTTCCTTAGTAGCCGCCCCCAACAAGAGCAACTAGAAGAAATCCGGCCTAAGACAGAGCTGGCTGGTGGGTTGGCAGGATCTTCATCTGCATAGCACTTGCCACCAGCCACACACCTGCACTGCTGCTGGGCAGCACTGTGAGAGAGAGCCAGTCACTCCAGACATGCAAGATGTGCCTCTCACCTCAAATCAGGCTGTGGCATCTGTCCATGGCAACCCTCTTGGGTTTCCAGGATCTCTTCATCTCAGGCCAACAGGGCAGTGGCTTTTTACCGAATAAACACCAGTGCTTCTATGATTAGAGAAAGGTAGGCAAGTTTCCATACACTGGAAGACCAAAGATGAAGACTGTTGCAACTTTTTCATGTTTATAAACATGATGGATTTCGAATACAAGAATGTAATTATTTGTGTATTTCTCAGCAACCTTCCTGGGGAGAAAAGTTACAAATACATTTTACTTCCTCACTACTGGGGCTTTGCTCACCTGGTTCCTTCCTCCTCGAACACTGTTCTACACTAGAGCAACCTGTCAAAATCCTACCCTCCTGCCATCCCAGATCTATACTTCAACCTTTCCTGATGCGGGTCCTGATCTCCGCAGCCAAAGTGAATCCCTCTCGGTCTCCTGCAATATTTTACATCCTCTTGGAGAGCATACCATCCTTTATACTTTATGGACTGGAAAACAGTGTGTGTGTGTGTGTGTGTGTGTGTGTTTGTGTGTGTGTGTGTGTATTACTCTCTTCTACTATTTTGTAATTCCTTGAGGGTGAGGACTATGGTTTACCTAGAGCTTCCAGCCTAGATTTACTAATAAGGACTTGATAAATGTTTATTGAGTTAAATTTGCCTTTACTTCCTTGTTGGCCAGGATAATCTTCATTTCAGGTAAAAGAAATCCAATTCAAACTGGCTTACATAAATAGAAGGATTGGCTCATATTCTTGGCGAAAGACAAATTTATTAACACATGTTCCTCGAGAGCCCAGGGTAAGCCCTGAATTTAGAGTAGCCTTAATTACAGGATCAGAGATCATCTTCTGTATCATTCAGCTCAGGGCTAATTCTCAGTAAACTCCCTTGGATCTCACGCCATCTTTGAGCAGCCCTTCTAGAACAGGGGAGTGGAGTATGCTGATTGGCCCAACCTGGGTCACATGCCTCCCCGAGTAATCAGTGCAGACAGTCCCATTCCAACACGGAGGGCCGAGTTCGGAAGAAGTGGTCTCCTACTACAGGTGGCCTGGCTCCTGGGCAGGCAAACACAGCAGCTATTGCAATAGTTTCCTTCTTGTGGGAGGAGGAACAAGCCCCTGGCAAAGCAAACTGTCAAGTAACGGGATTATCTCTCCTGTGATATATTGAGATGATCACTCATTGGCCAGAAATACTTTATAGAGTCGGGAGGTCTGGACTTTTAAAGTTCTTTCCCCTTTTCACCTTCTTGAAGATACAAAAGAGTATTCACAATGAAGAGAGGGGGAAAAAGAACAGAGATGCTGAGCTCAATTGACTTTTATTTTATTTTTGCAGAGAGCAGACGTGGCCGTGGCCCCCTTAACTATCACGTTGGTTCGGGAAGAGGTTATAGACTTCTCCAAGCCATTTATGAGTTTGGGGATCTCCATCATGATAAAAAAGCCACAGAAGTCCAAGCCAGGAGTATTCTCCTTCCTCGACCCTTTGGCTTATGAGATTTGGATGTGCATAGTTTTTGCCTACATTGGAGTCAGTGTCGTCCTCTTCCTGGTCAGCCGCTTCAGCCCCTATGAGTGGCACAGTGAAGAGTTTGAGGAAGGAAGAGAACAGACCACCACTGACCAGTCAAATGAGTTTGGGATATTCAACAGCTTGTGGTTCTCCCTGGGAGCCTTCATGCAACAAGGATGTGACATTTCTCCCAGGTCAGTCGGTTCTTTTTCCACCTCTTTGTTCAAGGATATATATTTCTTTGGGGGAAAACTTTGGAAATTTAAGAGACAGGAATTATTTTTTCATCTACTCTTTATAGTTAATTTCCCATTGCATGCTATGGATTATCTGGATGCATTCATGTCTAATCCAGCTCCATCTGCTTTCTGCTATTGGGTTGTTAATGTGTTCTATTGAGACTAATAGGCCAAATCATGACACGTGCAGAGAAACAGTGGGGCAAAGAGTGTTACAACTGATTCTTACTGGGGATCTACAATATGCCAAGCAAGGTTCTGAGTCCTATACATGCATCACTTCAATGAATGTTCACAGAAGCAGAAGGTGGGACTCATCTTCTATCTGGTTCTATAAATGAGAAACCCCAGAAATGTTGACTGTCTTCCCAAGGTTACACAGCAGTTATTAGTAGATAGGTGAGTTGAGATTCAGACCACTGTCCTATCCTCCTTATGTACGATAGAGGAGTGATGGGTTCTGATGGGGTGACATGTCTGTGTGGCCTTAAAGTTATCTCACCCTGGTAGACTTTGGCTTCATCTTAGAGAAAAGTATTCTCATCTGTGAGAAAGACCCTGGAAAAACTCTTGATTCCTTCAATGATATAAATGTATGTCTTGTGATTCAAAACAAACCACGAAAGGTACCTCAAAACCAGTGGGATTTTAGACCCTCAACAGGAACCACAGCAGCTTCATTTTTGTTTGTTTTGTATGTTGAGCTTGTAAATACAGTCTATTTTGAAACAAGTGGATCTAAAGCTAAGAGAGGAGGGAAAATAGGAAGGACGAAGTGGAATAAGAAAAGTGAAAATTAATAATCCAGACCAATTTTCACACTTGCTGACCTTCTGTACTTATGTGTAACTTTTTACCCACATTCTAGAATGTTCGTGCCTGAACTCCTCTAACTGATAATAAGCACTGGTTATATATTCTCTCACAGTTACTTAGTGTCTGTGAACTCTCTTTCCTGTAGGCATTCCCTTGCAGATTACCTATAGATTAGCTTAAATTAGACCTCCATGGATGGATCTGGGGCATAAGCACATAAATACGAGGCTCATGGAAATGTACCGGAGGTATGCTTACCCCCATCATCCTTTGGTATTTGACTGACAATGAGGACCAATATGTCTAAGCAGCAGTGGAGTAAAATCTTCCTAACAAGCTTTCCCCAAGACTTATTTTGCCTGCTGTATAATTTGGAAAGTCTCAACATTCACCATTATAAACTTGTTTTTCTTTAAATAAGAAGACAGTCTGGGGGGGGTGCAAGAGGAACGTGGGAGAGGAGGTGTGAGACTGGATGCTTGGCCAACACTGGCAAACACATGGTAAAGAGTAGAAAGAACCAAGCAGGGGAAGGGCTTGCTTAAAAATAAATCAGGCCAGTGGATAAACAGTGGAAAAAACAATTCCTCTCTAGTCAGAATAATGTGGGGCCATCAAACCCAGCATATGTCATGAGCTTGTTTTTCTGTCATTTCCTTCACAAGTAGGCATCTACTGCTTAACAGAGCTCCTGTGGTCTGACTTAGGGTGTATTTTCACACTTCCCACCACCCATCCGGAGGTCTCAGTTCGTGCTTCACACACTGAGTCTTTATCAGGCATGTCTGTATTAGGCAGTAATTGTCCACAATTTCCTGGCAGGCACTGGAGCTGAACCATAACCCCCACCTAACTGTTTCACTGCTGTGTTATTCAGCTGGCTCCTGAGGGTATCTGACATCTGCCTGAAAGAGGATTGATTTTCAAACTGCGAGCCCTGGACTTCTGAGTGTTCCTCTAGGGTCATCTCAGAAACCCAGTGAGCTGAGGAAAAAAACAAACAGCAAATATCTAGCCATCCTCCTCCATAACTTTGCATAACAACCCCACTCTGTACCTCTGTTCTTTGGTAAAATGAAAATAATAGTTTTGAATATTGGTGTGAGATTTAAAAGATGGCTAAATATTTAGAACCTAGTCTTTACATAGGAAACCTATGAAAAGGATGGATTGTTTGTTGGTTGGTTTGGTTTGGTTTGGTTTTTGATTGGCTTTCCTTACTAGACTTTGGCTAAACTTCACTGAAAGGAAGGGGGCGCTGTTCACAGTGGTCCTAAAGTCTAGCACCCTCTTCTGGGAAAGTCCAGGGACAAAGCAGAAATAGCTAGTGATTCACTTCAGAGACCAGCAATACCTAGATTCCTGGGTCTCCATGAGAACTAGGAGGAAGGATTTGTGGACTACAGAGGAAAGGAGTCTGGCAGGCGCAAGAGTGAACTATCAAAATAAGGAATTATATCCGCTTCAGACAGACTTCCTTATCAAGCCTACGGTGGCCACTCTGAGTTTAAGAACCTGAAGAAACCCTTCTAAGGGTCAAAATATGTGTCATCACAATGTTTCTTGGAAATATCCTTTGGGCAGACAAAAAGACAAGGACCCTAAGACAGTAATAAGTGACAAAGCCAAGCAGATGATGATAAACTCCAGCAGAAACTGCTATTGCTGCGTGTCCCTGGCCCTGCGTTCTCTGTGTTAGACGTGGTAGTGTTGTTTGCATTTTTCAAGTGAGCTTTCAGTTCATTGTTCTCACTGCTTAGTTAAATACCACAGATATACCATAACTCCACTAATTTAGAATTTAGAGAACTACATTCCATCTGAATTGCATATATCTACACTGATACACAAATAGCTTTATCTCATGCTAATCTCTTCAAAGTTATTTTTTATGCCCAGTAACCAAAAGCCAACAAAATCTGTTCAAATATCATTGTTCACAAGTAACAGCAACAACAGCAAAATAGTCATCAGAGATTGAAGTTTATCTCAGATTGTAGATTAGCCAGTTTGGGGGCTACCTTTCTCACATCCTAAAAAAAAAAAACAAACAAATATATAAAAAAACATAGCAACAGGCCATGGCTTGTGGCTTAGTGAAATCATAATGGGCTGTTTTGTGATTCTCCTGGCCTTCTTTTCTTGTTCATGAGGAGGCCACTCCAATGCTGTACCCACATTTAAGCAGTAAGAGAAGGAGAAAGTGTTTCCAGCCATATCTGTCTCTTTGGATCTAGAAAACCAAATCATAAGAAAATACTCTCCATACCAGATGCCTGCTTCTACCTTGCTGGTCAGAAGAGTAGCCCTGTGATTAATTATGCTGGCAAGCAAAAATAGGGAGGCAAGAATTTAGACTCTCTACCTTCTAGAGAAGGGATGGTAATGTATTTGGGAAACTCAACTTGCAGCCTTGGCCACACTAGCTAAAGTCAGTGTTTTCTGAGCTAGCATGGCAAATCCATAAAGAATAATCTGTAATGAGCATATTCAATAGTGTATGTGGGCAAGCGCTCCTGACCTCTCCTCTTTTCCTTTGAAATGATTCTATGATAAATGGCTCTTCAGAACCTACATTTTAACACTGAAAGTTAGAATTCAGCCTAGCTGTGATCACAGGTTATAATGTTTTTTTCATTAGGCTGATGGGAAGATCAGGAAGCCATCTATGAACAGACCTTGCAGGCGTGCTGCTTGAGCCTGAAGACCTACATTTAATAGATATTTTGCATTGATTTTTTCCCACATTTTGAAAAAAAATACATTAAAGGAGCAACAAAAACGACCACGGCCAAAATGTATCTTTCTCTTCCACAACTTTCCTTTCTTTCCTCCCTGTTTGGGTCCAACATCGTTCATTTTCGTTTGCTCAGCACATACTGCTAACTGTCCATGACTCGCAGGGTGTGGTTCTAGGTACCGAGGATGTGAGGACATACTGCCGATACATCCTGCAGTGGGGTAGGAGCTTCTGCTTCAAGGAATTGGGAGTATATTGGAATAAGACAGAACAAGCAATTGTGAAGGTATAAATGTTCATATGCTACCCAAAAATGAACCTGCTGTTGCAATAGATGATAAAGGAAGTGGAATTTAAGGATAATTACTTGGAGTGTTTTGAGAAGGTTTCTATGAGGACCTGATGGGTGAGAGAGAGCCAGGCTCGTATGGAGCTGAGAAACCCATAGCCATGAGTGAAGATCCCAGGTAGACAAGAGCTTAGTGCTCTCACAGACTGGAGAACTGATGTGTATGCCCGGCTTTTAGTGAACAAGGACCACAGGGGCTTGAAATAGTACTGGAAAAGTAAGCAAAGGCCAGATCATCCGTGTATACATGGAGGGTTTACACTAAATGAAATGGAAAGCCACTGGGGGTCTTAAGCAAAAGAAGAGTTGAACTGCATGCTAAATACCACTCTGGGGAGCTATGAAGGAAATGAATTAGGGAAGAGAAGAGTCGAAAGTAGAGACAGAGGGAACTGACAAGAGGCCTCTACACCTATCCTGGTGAAATTACAGGGATAGAAACTACTATGGTCGTGGACAGGGATTTATGATCCACTTGGAAATGGGAATTGACGGGACTCGCTGATGGGGATCATCCATGCAGATGAGGAGAGGAAGGATGAGAGACAAATCCAGGAAGGCAGATGCATTTGCAGAACATGGATTTACAGTTCTAGAGACATTTAGCTCTAAATGGGACCTTAGGGTGCTCTGGTTTGCACATCTCATCACAGATGAGGAGTGAGGCCCAAGAGGGGGGAAAGGTACTTTCCCTGAGGTCACTCAGGCAATACCCAGGGCTCCTTGATGCTCAGACCGAACAGGTGAATTCGGAGCTGCCCTCCTCAGCAGTGCTCTCACAGCCCCATTTCCTCAGCGATCCCCTTGGGGGTCAGCGTTTCCTTGGTTCAGATGACTTTGGTAAGGAGAACAAGACTCCTGAGGTCACTCAGGCAATACCCAGGGCTCCTTGATGCTCAGACCGAACAGGTGAATTCGGAGCTGCCCTCCGCAGCAGTGCTCTCACAAGCCCCATTTCCTCAGCGATCCCCTTGGGGGTCAGCGTTTCCTTGGTTCAGAGGACTTTGGTAAGGAGAACAAGAGAGTGTAGAAGAATCTTAGGAGAATACG